CTCGGCGGTTTCGAGTTCATCCTCCATCACCATCATCAGGTCGTCAAGCCTTTTATCTGACCGTGCTGTCTCTTCTACTGCGTCATCGACCGGTAGGGTACCAACCGTTCCAGCATCAACGACAGCCAGCAGTTCGAGCGGCACGGCACCAAGCACAACAACAGGGCCCGTGGCTACAGCCACTAACGGCTACTACTACGTCGGCTGCTTCCAGGACAGCAACACGGGCCATGCGCTTCCCGGGTTGTTCGCGAACAACAGCGTCACCCCCGAGCTCTGCATTGACTATGCCAATTCAAAGTTTAGCAACTCGCCGACGTCGACAACGAAGATGCCATATGTTTTCCTCGAGTACCACCACGAGTGCTACGGAGGCGCCACCTTCGACTTCAAGGGCGCTGCTGTCACCTCGCTGGTTGGAAACAAGGCTTGCAAGAACTACTGTTACGGCAGCGTCAGCACATTCACCACAGATGGCAAGGTCACCACCACCACTGGCACGGCCAACTATTGCGGCGGGCCCAAGATGTTCGACCTGTACGCGTTGTCAACGCCTGTCGCTTTCCCAACAACGGGTGGTCCTCTGGTCACTAGGACAGTGAACTGAGGCGGTTTCGGGATGCTTCGTTATTAATTGCATAATCACGCCTGTTGACGAGGCTTTAAATATCTCAACATGTCATTTTCCTTTTCAGTACATACCCAGGCATTCCCAAAGATTGGATGCCCAGAGTCATTTGCATATTTAGACTTCATTTCAAACAGATACTATTTTTGCTCATAACATGTCCATCTTCAGTCATTTACGCCTCGCACGAGAATCGTTATATCCTTCAATTGATTTTTGAAGGAGCTACTGCTTTGGAGCGGAGCGCGTGACGCCGTGCAACAGATGGTGTGCATAGTTCACGGAAGAAGCTGGCGTACTGCGCTAAATGTCTGCAGCATCGAAGTTGCGGATCAGGTCGTAGTAGAAGCTCAAGATCTCCATGTGTGCACTGATCTTGATTCTCTCGTCGATGGTGTGGGCGTTGAGAGTCGCGCCGTTTCGGATGGGCACGAAGCGGTAGACGTTGCGCGTAAGGCCTATTCGCGATCAGCTCATCACACACTCACTTCTAGCTTGCACGTGAAATCGTGTCCGACTTACTCAGGTAGTGTCTCGTGTCAGTGTTTCCGGTCATAAGCTCGCCGACAGGCACGACTCTGCCGCCGTCGAAGGCGAAGGTAGACTGCAGCGTCCCGGAGAAGAGGTGCCAGACGGGGCCGTTGGTCGGCGATATAGGGGCGGGCTGCGTCGCCTGGGTGCGGCTCAGGTACAGCGTGCCGTTGTAGTCGACCTCGTACAGGGGCTTCACGGCGTCGTCGTCGTCGACGAGCTTCTCGACGGACCCGAATTCCTTGGCGTGCCGCTTCGCGTACTCTTCGTAGTCGTTATCTCCCTCGAAGGCCTTGACGGCGATGCCGTACTTCTCGGCGATGCGGCTGACGTGGCCGACGACATTGTGCTGGATCTCGAGGATGCTGTTCTGGGGCGCGACGCGGTAGTTGACGCCGACGCGGATCTTCTCGGGCATGGCGTTGATCTTCTGGCCGGCCTGGAAATAGTCGACGCTCTGCGAAGTCTGCAGGCGGTAGTGCGTCGGGCGGTCGATGGCCACGAGCTCGGCGGCCAGGGCGTCGAGGTCGCCCTCCTCGAGCAGCTCGGTGATGCGCGGCTGGGCGCCGGGCGAGTAGCGAGCCTGGCAGACCATGTGCTCGTACAGCGGCGAGCCAGTGGTGAGCTTGGGGGAGTAGGGGTGGGCCTCGAGGGCGACGACCATCTCGGAGGCGATGCCGATGCCGGTGTTGGGGAAGGGGACGGAGGAGTGGCCGCCGATGACGTGCAGGTCGAGCCAGACGTCGACGTGGCCCTTCTCCATGACGGCGGGGAGGGCGTAGAGGGTGGCGTCGTCGAGCTGCTGCAGGCCCATACCGCCCTCGTCGAGGACGAGGACCATGCTGTCGTTGCCCCAGGTCTGCTCGAGGTGGGCGGCGATGTGGCCGGCGCCGCGTCTGCCGGAGCACTCCTCGTCGAAGCCGGAAGCGAGGATGATGGTGCGGGCGGGGGACCAACCGCCGGAGAGCAGGGTCTCGAGGGCGGAGAGGAGGGCGGTGAAGGAGTTCTTGTCGTCCGAGACGCCGCGGCCCCACATCCACTCGCCGTCGAAGTGGGCGGAGAAGGGCGGGTAGGTCCAGGTGGCGGCGTCGGCGACGGGGACGACGTCCTGATGGGCGGCGAGGAGAAGGGGCTTCAGGGAGGGGTCGGAGCCGCGCAGGGTGTAGACGAGGCCAAAGGTGTTTACCTTGACGAGCTCGGCGCGGTCATGGCTGAGCGGCGGTTTTTTTTGTCAGAGGCTTTTTTTCCCTTTTTCCCTTTTTCTTTTTTTTTTTCTTTTTTCTTCTTCCCCCCGTCGGAGTGATTGGGTTCTGTACCTGAGCGGGGGGGGGGGGGGGGGGGAGAGATAGACGGAGAAAGGGGACTTACAAGACGGGGTATGTCTTCTTCAGGACATCGTGCAGGTCGTAAAAGACGTCCCAGCGCTTGTCGGTGTCGAAGTCGCCGAGGTCGTCGTAGCAGATTGACGGCACGCGGACGATGGCGGCGTGGCGCTCGACCTGTTTCCGGATGGCCTCGGGAGAGGAGAAGAGGTCCTTGGCGGAGGGGAGGCCGTCGGAGGGGCTCACGACTGGCGGGAGGTCACACTTGAAGTCGGATGTGGTGTCGGCGGTGAAGGGAATCTGCTCCCCTGGGTAGTAGGGGGAGTTGGCGGACGCGAGGGCGGACGACGAGAGGAGGGCGAGGAGCGTGTGGGAGCGCATCTCGGAAAGGGTTGGCTGAAGGCCTCAGCTGGTGGAGGGGAGGACGGCGACTTGTGAGATTTGAGGTTTTCCGGTGGGCGTTGCTTCGCGAAGCTATTCGGACTACTACACCATCGACCTCTGTTTTCTCGCAGGTAGGTCGGGCACGACGGAACGGTCACCGGAGAGATTGGGAGAGAAGGGGGGAGGCGGAAGGAGGGTCTTGGACAGCAGTATCGAGGAAGACGTCATTCTTGTAAGGATGCGACGCGCGCGCCCACATCACACGAACACTGGTCCTGACATTGCGCGATAGCTATCCGGTCTACAGCAGAGGTCCTATCAACCCGCCCCTCATTGTCCAATTGGGGGTGGGGGGACGATTGGGTGCGAGCCGTAGAGGAGAAGGCTTCCCCCGGCCGGCCGAGATAGGAGGTTTGGTGACATGTCTATCTCTCCAAGGAGTAGGCTGTGGGTAGCAGTGCGTTGATAACGGCGGTGTTAGACCGTTCTTCGTCCCTCACTCCCTCCCCCAGGCTTTGCCGAAGCAAGGCCGCGTTTCGGAGTCGGAAGGGGGAAGAGGGAGGGGGGGGGAGATGGGCCTGCTTGATAATGGGGAGCCCGGTGCCGATGCGGAGATGCGGGTGAGAGGGTCGCAACGCATGGTCGTAATGGGAGAAGGGGTAGGGAGTCTTTTTGGGGGGGAGGAGGATGAGGAGGGGGAATGGGGGGATTGACGTGACGGGATCGTCGGGCAGACGCCGCGGGCAACGTGTTGTGCGCCTTCCTTATCGGAGCGTGGAGGCCGGGACGGGGGACGTGATTGGGCGGTGTTGGGGAGGTGGCGGGGGAGAGGAGGCATGTCGGGGATCCTCCGGTGGGCGAGGGAGACGGGGACGGTGGCCGTCGGCAATCTTTGGCGGTTGGGTTGAGGTGCACAGTTTCGGAGGGGTGCGTTCCACATTATGATGAAGAGAGAGAGAGAGAGAGAGAGAGAGTGGGTGAAGCGATAAAGACGGGTTCGTGAGCCAAGTGCCGAGCATGGCCGGTCGCGCCGGACTATTGGTCCCGTGCGAGGTCCGGGATGACGGTTCGTGACGGCGCCGGTTTCGGCATGGGGGTCCGGCGGGGGGGCAGGCGTGGCGCGGTGCGCGACGGCTGTTGTTCTGTGGATTGAGTTTGGCCATTTGTTGTATGCCTTCATTGACAGTAAGCAACGCGCAGAGTAGATCAAGCTTGGTACTGGCCGGTTCCCCAGTGTCATTCGAAACTGGGAAAAAAACAAAAAAGAAAACGCGACAAGGGCCGCGGACCTCGGTCGTTTGAGGGCTTGAGAATGTTCGTGCGATGCGGCAAAACGCTGCGACTCGTACAATCGATATTCAACGAATATATAGATGTATTTTTTAAAAGAATAATAAAAATGTATAGGCGTCGTAAAACGCAAAAGGTAGGTCGACGTTGGCCTGATTCGAACAGACGCTCCCGAAGGAACAAGATTTCTAGTCTTGCGCATTAGACCACTCTGCCACAACGCCGGACAATCCCTGTTGAGGTGGACAACTGGGGGTGGAGATGCCCTGAGGAGCTGATATTCTTGCTCAAGAACCTCTACCACATGACGTCCCACTAGCCACCAGCTACCGCCGGAAGAGTGTCTGTTAGACGGTTATACTGACACCTTTCTCCCTCTCGGAGAGGTGAGCGTCACAGACTCAGCCTCGCCGCGGCGCAGGAAGCCCGACTCCTCCTCAATGCACTCGATCATCGCACACACGCACCGTGGCATTCGCCGCGCGCAGAACCGCAGGACCGGGATGATATTCAGCCGCGACGAGCCCGACACCGCGAGCCGGGCGGCCCTGGCCTCGCGAGGGGGGGAGAGCGGGATGTGGAACGGACGCAGCCCTCACGTACATTGTACATGGATGAAACAATGCGACGACTGAAACGTCGTCCAGGACTGGGCCGGCGCTGTCCTGTGGAACTGGTCATCACGGGCGCAGACAGCTCGGCGTTGAGGTCGGAGAGGCTGGAGATGACGGGTTCTGTCGTTTCTCTCTGCGTAGAAGTCCATTAGTGAGAGCGCCAGGCGCTGCCGTCATCGAGTCGCGACTGAGATTATCGGGATCAATACCCGCAAAGTTTGTTGTTGTTTTGGGGGGGGGTTTTTTTTTCCCTTTTTTTTTTTCTTTCCTTTTTCTTCAGGGATAAATGAACCATGTTCCTCGTAGTTGGACGAACCCCTCCCCTCCCTTCCCTGCGCCCATCTGATGTCGTCGTCGTCGCCGCGTCCAGGAGGGTTGCCGACTAGCCCGGCGGCAGAATTCCAGCCAGCTCCAAGAGCCTAAAGCTGTAGGGCTACCGCGACGGCTGACTCGACGACACGAGGAAGGAAGCAGGGACGGAATCGACAATCGATCGCTGGTGTATAAGCCGCGTCATCCCGTGAGGGGTTGACGGCGTTGTTGAGCTCGGGCTCCGAAGGCGATGCTACCGCGACCCCCGGCCCGCCGCTGCGGTCACCGATTGCGGAACGAAGGGAATGCCTGCTGTCCGGTCACCCTCTCCAAAAGCTTCAGCATCTCCTCTCCTGGCTCCCGTCTTTTTGCTGTTTCGAGTCACGCTTGGCAGAGGCGGGGGAGGGGTTGCTCGCAAGTGCGGACGGATCGGATGCGAGTACCGAAGTCGCCCTTTTTCTCTTTTTGTTTTTTTCTTTTTTTCCTGCTTGCTGTCGCTTATGCCATCGATGAGAAGAAGCTCTAGCCGAGGAGCGGGATGCGACACAGGGTCTGGGGAGGGTGATCTGCAAGCCTTGGTGGAGATGTTCCGTTTTCTGCTTATAAGTTATAACCGATCCCTCACCCCCCCCTGCCTCTTAGCTGACCGTCGCTAAGAGCGATCATATCTTGTCCGGCCCACTGCCATCGCTACACACATATCACTCCGGACGACGCCGAACGATGGATGGGACTCGCGGGCGTCGTTCGATTTGGTAAAGGCTAAAGGGAGTAGGTTGCGCATGATGCGATGGTGGAACGAAAGGGACGTCGGCGTTTGGGTTTCCCGATGGGACCAGGAACGGGTTGACGGACCGGTCAAGAACAACCAAGGATTCGGACGAGATGGCGAACTTTGTCGGGACGTTCGACATCGCACTCTCCGCCCAAGCGAACGTTACTCGCATCGCCGGCCTGCTCAGGGACGATCTCGACTTTTGCGTTTCACGTCAAAACATAATTCGTCACGGTGTGCGCGTCGAGATCGGGGAGGGGACATGTCATGGTGGGAGTTGGTCAAGAAATACAGTTTATGTAAACCAAGTATTGAACATGGAAGAAGAAAGAAAAAAAGTATGAACTTTATACAAGAACATGAGTTATCCTGGGGGGTTTCCGCCCATGGTTCCGTGCCCGTGGCGTGAAACCTTTTTTTTGTTTTTGTTTTTTGCACCTGTTTCCGGCTCGTCTCGTCTTCAAGGACGAGAATAAAATAAAAAGGTTGACCTGTGTTCCTTCTCTCCGAAAACTCTAAAATGGAGTTTGGATGCGCTGGCGGAGGGCCTGCTTCGCGGAGCGACGCTTGTTGCAGGACTGTATGAAGCAAGGTTAGCCGGTGTTCGACCACTATCAAGTGTTTCTGCCCCCCCCCCCCCTCGAAGCTCTCTTCGAGGGGCGAGAGCTTCGGACGCTGGGATGGAATAGGACTTACCCTGGGCTCTTCAGAGGCGGCGGGGGTGGCGGGCTTGGTGGCGGCGGGGACGGAGGAGGTCAGGAGAGTGGTGGGGGCGGCGGCAGAGGGCGCGGGGGCGGGAGCGGCAGAACCAGAGCCGGAGCCGGCGGAGGTGAAGTCGACGCAGGACATGTAGGTCTGGCCGGCCTCGCGGGAGTCCCACCACCACTGGAGGACGCAGTTGCCGGCGGTGGCGCAGCTGGCGGGCAGGGACTGGGGGAGGGTGACGCTGAAGGCGGTGTTGTTGGCGGCGACGCCGGTCTTGGTGCTGGCGTAGTTGGTGAAGGAGATGAGGGGCGAGCCGACGATGGAGTTCTTGGTCGTGTCGACGACGGAGACGTTGGCGACGCCGGTGTGGGGGGCGCGGATGTCGACCTTGAAGTCGACCTTCTGGCCGGGGGCGAAGCTCTGGACGTTGGCGGCGTTGTCGGCGAACTTGTAGCCCTTGCAGAGGGCGAGGTCGCACTTGGAGGCGTCGAGGCTCCTGCCGGCCTGCTGGGCGAGGCCCTGGATGTTGCCAAAGGGGTCCGACTTCTCCGTGTTGAGGAGGGTGTTGCCGCAGGCCTCCTGGAACGCCTGGCCGGCCACGCGGGGAGGAGGCGAGGTGACCTTGCCGTGGGCCGAGACGGCGGCGGCGAAGGAGAGGACGGCGAGAATCTTGGCCTGCATCTTGGAACTGGTTTCCGGTTTCTTGTTCGAAAGCGTTTGGTTTGGAGCTCGTTTAGGGAGAAGGGGAGGAGAAGGAATGGGAGACGTGTGTGAGTGGTAGGATATGTTTCTTTTTTACTAGCAAGTTATGTACGAAAAGAATGGCTTGTGGCTAGCACAGCGTAAAGAGAGCGTTGTGAATGAATGAAAGTGAATGCAAGTTCGAACGAGGTTGGAATGAGACGAGGGGAGACCAGAGGGGACGGCCAAGATGTGGACGGCGGCACGGAGGAGGCTCTTATACGGTTTCGCCGGTGGCCAGCAATGTACAGAGTATATTTCTCGCCCCATCCCCGTCCCGTCTCTTTCCATCGTAATTTCGTCCCATCTCGTCGTCACTACTCCTCTTCCTCCTCACTCCTCCCTCCTTGCTGGAAGTCTCGCGTGCTGGGGTGGTGTCATGACGGGCCCAGTACGGGCTCAGGGTACGGACCCCCGGAGTCGTAATCTATGTAAGACGGCTTGTCGCGGCCGAAGCTTTCGCTCCTCTACAAGCTCACAGGGGTTGTTCACTGGTAGATGACGGCGAGGGTCAGGTACAATACACCAAAGATGAAGCCTCCCGTCAGCCCTCCAAGGGCCACCGAGGCGCGTCCAAGAGACCGGGGGGCAGGCCATCCACGCAGGCCGGGAACATGATGTGGCAGCCAACGGCCCCCGGTCCGCCTCCAGATCCAGGGAACGACAGCGATTGGGCGTCTGGCGGGCTGGGCTCCCGCAACGGACAACGGCCGCTGGATGTTTAATCTGAGTGAGGCTCGGTGGGACGCGCTGCTGTTGGATCCAGATCTTCTCGGCTTGGTCTCTGTGGCCCCCTCCCCCCCGTCCCTTCACTAGACGCCTTCGTGGCATGACCCCTGCATCGCCATCATTGCTCCTGAACCGGGGTTTGTTGCTGAAACGGCGCCACGACCACGCGCATCTCTCAGGCGGCGGTCCCCCCCACCACTTTCATCATCTTCCTCCCCCTTCTCGGAGCATCAGTGTCGAGCTAGCTCAGAAATCCTTCCCGCCGCTTGTCGCCGCGATTTGTTCTGGATCCCTCCATCGTCATCATCCCATCTCGGTTCACCGGCTTCGTTGATCTCCAATGGCTTTGATGGGGAGTATGCCCGTCCGGAGCATCCTTGCAAGCGAGAAGCAAGAGGTCGGCCGGGAGCGTAGGGAAGATGCCCTCCCGGAAAAAGAAATAAACAAAAATTGCCAAATCACCTGGACGGCATCCACGGTGAGCCGAGTTGGAAAATTTCAGTTGCCGTCCTATGCAGCCGTCCTGTTTCAAGAGCCTTCCTCCGAGGGGGTTCGAATTCCACTGCTCATCATCGCAGGCCAGCGAGATCAATTCTCGAATTCCTCGGTGCCAACCTGGATGCCAGTAATTCGACTCGGTGGCGGTCATGAAACCCCCGCCTTGGATACGCATCTCAGCTCGGCGGATCTCTTGTCATCAACCTCAGACCGGACTTCGCCCCGGTGGACCCCTCGCTCTCTGCCTGATTTGGCTTCCATCTCGCAGTGCTTCTCGGGTTTTCACGTGGCCAAAGTCTCGGATCACGTCCCCGAGGCTTGCATCCGCTCCGCCACTCTTCCCGAGGTGGGTGCTGATATGACGTGGGAGAAAGGCCGTGGCAGCAGCAGCAGCAGCAGGCCTTTTGCCCTGTCGTTTGTTCCTCTTGCTTTCTCTCTGTTTTTTCCTCGCCCGATCGTCAACTAAACACATTTGAGGACTCACCCCCGTGCCCACATCGTGGATCCCACGCAGGGTCATGGGCGCTAAACATCTAAACCTTGCGCCGCAGAGCGGGCCTGTGCCCGGCATCTCAGCCGTACGATTGGGTCCCAATATAGTACTCAATTTCTATGTTCAGGTGAGAAAGATGGGGGGGGAGAGAGGAAAGGGGACAGGTCTTGGCGGCTCATGCGACGGAGGACGTAGGAGATGCAATGCACTCCTGAACCCTTGGGAGGTTCCTACTATGTGGACAAAAGGGTCAAACGCTGCAGGGCAATCAATACTGTCCGCCTCGGATTGTTGATATCACAGCAAAAGGAGCAAGTTCGCTGCAAGCAAGCCGGCACAAAGACCGATGGGCATGGACGAGCCGAGTCCGTGGGATGCCCTGCTTCTTCTCTTCTCCTTTGGCGTGAGGACGAGCATTCGGAGATGGAATCCCCCACTCGGGGTTTCCAAGTGTGTTTTTAATGCATGGCTTCCGACGTTTCCACAAACCCATCTCTTCTCTCCGATCCAACAGATTAGCAGCCGCCATGATTAGCTTGGGACAGCGGTTCCCACGGTCACTGGGAATTTCAACACGTCTGGAATTGAGTAGGTCTGTATAGGTAGACGGACGTACAGCGTACCTCATCCCAGCTGCCGGTACGCAGTGCGCGGTTCTCATCAAAATGCCGCGTGGCCCATCGTTCACCAGCACTATTGCCGTAATTTAGCTGACGCCGCCCATCGCCGTGGGGAAAAGCTTAGCGGAACACATTGTTCAGAAAATCGCACGCGATTGAACGTGGTGTAATTTCTTGGCCACACACGCAATTGGTGGCTGTAGCCCTTGGGAACGGATTCGCAAGTGGAACGTCCCATCAATCCCTCATGCATTCCAGAAGGGTGCCGTCTCCCGTCTAACAAGTCCGGCAAGCTTTGCTGGGAACGAAACGGTTAGCTCGCTCCCGGCTAAGAAACACCGGCAGGCCGAAGCTTGTATATGGGTCCGGACGTATCCCCGGTCCGGGTGGAGCGGTTCAAGGCCCGACACGCCCCACTCCGCCAGAGTTGTAGTCCGTTGCTTTCCCGAGGAGCAGATGGCCGTCTTCGGGAGATGCAAATGGCATCTTCCTCTTGTCAAGCTTTCAATAAGGTTGACGAAATGAAACATTGTACGATGATCAAGCCCGCTCCCAGCTGGATGAGGCCTCTATGTCTTCAAGCCAGCGCTGACTTTTCAGCCATATGCGCTGTGGCTTGCTAGAAATGTTCCGGAGCCGGCGTCAGTGCCTATCGTTCGAGCGATGCCGTGTTGCTTTGCCTAGAGCAGCTTCGTTGATGGTCGCCCGCCAAGATATAGCATGGGCCCATTTCTACTCATCCTTGGCGATAGGCGCACCATGCCAAAGGACGCTGTGTGGGCGACCGACGGACGAGACCTCACGATGTCTGCACCCTCGGGAACCACGTTTATGCGCGAGACGCACTACGAGTACCCAGATGCCTTGTTGCAATGTCGGAAGTCGACCGATGGGCCAATATACAAAATAAACGCCCACGAGTATTCCTGCGGGTACTTCGCCATCTGCAGCTGCCCCAAGATGAAGCCAGAGCCCGATACTGCAGGAAAGGGTGTAAGTCGGACAAGTTTTCTGCCAGAATGAGAAGTCGTCCCGTCAGAGAACACCGCCGCTAGCTGATCTTTAACGTTGCGATTTCAGGGTATAGCGACCTTCACTGTGACGGCCTTCATCACCCTCTGCCTGGCCACACCTTCTGCCTCGTCGTAGGGCGCACCAACGAGGCGCGTCAATCCTGCAACCCGATAGACCGGTTCGCCAGAAAACACGTTGCCGAACCGACGCGCCGTCTCATGTTCCGCCTCGGCACGAACCCCGACCTGCAGTCCCTCGTCGCCTACGATCTCGTCAACACCGTCAGCGACCTCCAGCTTGTGACCGGCCTGGCCGTGCTCGTTTGGCGGGATCAAAGATGTCGCCGATGGCAGCATATCGACGTACCACTTCCTGATCGTCACCGACCTCGCGTGGTTCTGCACGCTCGCCCACCTGCTCTCGCCCGCCGTCACCCGTAGCATGCGCGACAGCGTGAAGCGGACGCATCCCCATGAAGTGCGTAATCGACAAGCCAAAAGGCGGGTACCCGTGCAAGATGATGGTCATCAACATGGCGCTGATGTCTCACAGCTACGCGGTTCAAATGTTCCTTACTTGGCGCACCGGGCGTAATTCTTGTTAATCATTCCGTTCATGGGGCTCTTTGGGTCCCACGCGAGGCATTCCAAGGCACTCGGGGAGCCCGACGCCAAGGTTCTGGACAGCTGCACCTCGGGAGGACCCTGAGACCGGCGGCGGTGGGCATGTAGGATAACGAGCAAAAGCGCGACTGGAATGGATGGACGACGCAGAATTACGTAGCGAGCCACCCATAACGATGACGATGCCGAGGCATGAGGTTTACACCACGAAGAAGTGCAGCAAGTCGCTCAAGCCGAAGATCGGATTACTTTTTTCGGAGGGGGGCGCGCGCGCGAGAGGAAGAAGCGTCGGTCCACGGTCAAAGCAACTTGGCGATGATCATCGCGCCATCCGCTTTGAGGGTTGATGAGCACAATACGGATACTACCGGCTGCTTCGCCTCTGCTAGCACGGCAAGGGAGCGAGGACTCCAAAGGCCTCCCACGCCAATCGTCAAGGAGCGTAATAACGTGTGTGGAAATCCCAGCTCAACAAGGAAAACGGACACTGGTCAAGCGGAAGACAGAACGTACGTTTGGATGAGATGCATCGGCCGCGGTGCACGCAACCATCCGTCCGTCACTCCGGGCCGAAGTAGAACGCGGGGGAGGCGGATGGGGCTGCCTGGATTGCCCAGCACAACCACGGATGTCTCGTCCCCCGGCCTTGCGCATGCCAATGGGATAAGAGCCACAAGTTCTTGGTGTTTTGGATTTTTTCCCCCTTCCTCTGCCGCTAAGTCCATTCTCGCCTCTCCTGAGCGCGCTCGCCCGGCACGGCGGTGGCTGTGCGAGGCGCGCGTTCTATAGGTCCTGGCACGAGGGGGAAAGATGAACAAAGGGGGGCGGGGGGCGAATAGATGGCCTGGTAGAGGTACGGGTTTCCCCTTCTCAGCCCATCTTCGTAGTTACTTTGTATTAGGCATACTGCTTTCTCTGCGAGGCTTTTGCTTGCGGGATAATACCTCGAGGAAGCCATCTCACTGTACCCGGGCGTGCATGCAGATCGAAGATCGCCCATGATGGCAGGCCGCATACCGCAGCTCGCGAATCCGAAGGAGGGGAGGCATCAGCCCATTCCTAAGCCACACACGGCGCAGGGCACGAGTGTATAGGTGACTGGATCATCATGCTGGTATAAGACGGGGGCGTCTTCTCACGGGAGGCAACTGGGATATCAGACGACTGCAGGCCGTGCCTTCACTCGATAACATCGTCATCACGCCGCATCATCATCCCGCCTGGACTCAACGAAGAGCTTTTCCGCCAGTATATCAGACCTCCGGTGCCCCGAAACCTCTCTATCTCTCTATCTCTCTATCTCGCTCTCTCTCTCCCCCTCTCTCCCGCTAGCTCCTCAGCCAAATTCAAAAATCACAATCACAATCACAATAATGCGTCCTTCCACTCTTGTACTCGCGGGCCTTACCGCAACAACCAACGACGTCCAGGCGCCCAACCGCGCCAGCGAGGCCCGCGCCGCCGCCGAGGCTGCCTTCTTGGAACGCCGCGACGTCAACGCCTGCAACTCCGTCGCGACGTCCCTCCTCCCCAAGATCACCGACGGCGTCCCGACCCCGCCCGCCGACGTGGCCGCCTACCTCGCCCGCTCGGCGACCATCACCGACCCGTGCGTCGACCCGACCATCACGGGCTCCGTCGGCTCCGCCTACTCGACCTACGCCTCGTCGTACACCTCCTGGCGCAACGACCACCTCTCGGACTTCCGCGCCGTGTGGCAGGCCTGCAGCGACGTGCCGGGCGTCGCCGACATCATCCTGCCGACGGGGACGGGACAGTGCAGCTCCCTCGTCGCACAGATTACGAGCGCCGGGCCGGTGAACGGCGGCGGCGGCGGCGGCTCCGGAAACGGCGTTGGGAATGCTGCCGGGCCCAGGGAGACGGGGGCTGTTCTTGCGGCGGCGGCCATGGCCGGTTTCGTTGTTGCTGCCATTCAGTAGATGGGAAAGGTCGTTTGGCTTACACCGGAACGAGAAAGAAAATGATATGGAAATGGTAATTCAAATGAGGCTCTTCATAGGTCGTCGGTATGACACGCTTGGAAAGGGTAATGATGATTATTAGGATTTGGGTACGGGGTTCACCGTGTTTTTGACAGACTACAATAGTGTTAAAAGAGACAAATACCTCAAGAGATTGCGGTACAATCTGAAGTCGTCTAGCATGACTCCGAATGCGCCAGTTCCTCGTGGTATCTCTGTATTCCGTACACGACATGTCTTTAAACAGTGGATATTATCATTACACATCGTCCAAACAACCTACAAGAATCTTCCACCCCCCTCCAAAACCTCCGTCATTGCCAAGACCTCCGTCATTGCAGAATGGCAAAGTTCCAGTTGGCCACCGCCGGGTGTGGCTTCATCAGACCCCTCTTGAGCCAGCACCGCAGCTGGGCTTCCCCGTCGACCATGACGTTGCCCCACGAGACGCCGGTGCACTGGGCGGCCTTCGCGCACGCTTCCATGCACTCGCCCATGCTGACCGCTGCGACATTGAACATGTCTATGGCCCCGTCGCTGCCGGAGTAGTCCACGCCGCAGAGCCGGAGGAACTTCTTGTCGGAGCCGATGACGTGGTAGATGGTGTTGTCGGCCTCCGGGCAGATGGAGTTGGGGCCGGAAGTCGCCGTGGGGGACGCCGCCGTGGTCGAGCCGGTTGCCGAAGTCACCAGCGTGGTCATGACCGTCGACGAAGCTGTTTCCGATGGCGCCGAGCTCCTGGTTATCGATGAACTTGTCACCGTCGGAACAATCAGCGGTTTCGTCGGAGACGGCACGGTCGTCGCCGTAGGAGTCGGCGAGGGACTGCAGTTTTGCTTGTTAGCCGAGGCACATCCGGCACCTCGATGGGGGGGAAAAAAAAATCATCAAACCATACCTTGTCGTTCCGGCGTTTTCATCCAACTGGCTGGCCTTCTTCCCGGAACCCGCGTCCGCGCCCACTCCGACACCGACACCGATGCCGACCCCCAGGGCGATCAGGACGATGAGCCCGATGAGCAGCCAGAACGGCCCCCGCCTGAGCCCGCAGCACCCGGGCCGTCTCCCGGGCTCGCTGTCGTCGTGGTCGAACACGCTCTGCCGGTAGGCCAGCGACCGCGACACCGAGGCCTTCTCGCCGTCGGGCGGCGGCGTGCCCTCCCGGTAGAAGGTGAACTCTTCGTGGTTCATGGGCGTCGGGTCGTCGCCGGCCCAGTAGACGCTGGGGATCGAGGCCTTGCCGAAGATGGACCCCTTGCCGCTGCGGACGGTGGGCGCTTTGCGCAGCGACGGCACGGCGCGCCTGGCCCGGATATCCTTGGGCACGATCGGGTCCGGTTCGTCCGGCAGGGGAGGGCGGTCGTTCATCATCTTTTTCTGTTTCCGCCGTCCAACACCAAACTTCTTCCCCCCCTTCACAGTTCCCCCTGCCTGGGCTGCGAAACCAAACTCGAAAGGATGGCGGGCGGCAAGATCCTCCGAGGTTTGGTTCGCTTGCTTCGTGTCTGAGCTTGTTCTGTCTTGTGTTACGCGTGCGCTTCCGGCACATTCATCTCGGCCTAGCCGGGACGAGAACGAGAAAGAAAGAATGTTCGTAGAGCCGGGCCGATTTCCTGGGTATAATAAAACGAGCGTGTGTTTTTTTTTGTTCTGTTCCTCCCGTCTTCTCCCCTCCTCCTGCTTTTCTACCTCTCCTTCGAGGTCTTTTTCCTTGAACGAGTGTGCCGTGATTCAAAAGGGCTGGATGGGCGCGCCCCGGAGCGCAGATGCGCTGCGCTGCGGCGATGGAAACTGGGCCGGCTTCGCCGTGTTCCCAGTGCCCGGTCACGTCGAGTAGGAGGACCAACGGCGGAAACGAGTGACGCCGGTTGGATCGGTATGATTGAACGAACGGACGGACGGACGGACGATCGATCGAACGAACGAACGAACGAACGAATGAATGAATGACTGGAATCGAACGAGCGTAATTCAATGTAAAGGGAGAGAGAGCGAGGAAAGGCGAGGGAGAAACGAAAAGTGGACAGAGACAGATAGCTTCAACGGTCACACGAACCCATGATCCCTTCAAAGATAGAAGCTCCTCTTTCCCTACTCCCCTACCCTGGGCGTCCCCATCAATAAAAGCCTATATAGAGGCCCCGAAAGTGGTGTTACCCCTGTTGTGATAATTTCCCGGACCTGGGGGATGATGTGACGGGCGTTGGAACTAACCCGCTTTGGCACGTCCAAGCAGCTCGCGCCATGGAACGGCAACATTGCGCGCAGGGATCATCTTGGTATTCTGATAGAGACGGTCCATCCGGGTGAGCCATCTATCGTTTTGCTTCCTGGGAGTTGAAGCCGTCATCGGCAAAACACTAGTCGAAATCGTCCGAAGGTGCCAAGATGGTGTTCAAAAAGATGGGCTTGGTCAGCAGCTGGAACATATACCGTATGCACACATGCATGCACGGAGAAACCGACGTGCTGTTTGCCACATGCGTGGGAGACAACACATTCTTTGGCTCACTTGCTCTCTCTCTCTCTCTCTCTCCCGCGGAATGTTAGCCAAAAGAGCCGATGAAGAGCACGCTTGGCGGCCTTGTTCTCCCTAATGGGATAAGCCCCTCCCCGTCGAGCAGGTATCCCTATCTCCCGCAAAGCAGAAACGGAAGAGATAGCCAAGGCGAGCATGTGCGTCAGCCACCGGACCTGCAGAATAGACCTTAGCGTATTGGCTCGACGCCAAGGAGTCCTCGGCGCGGGCACCGGAGGTTTTGTCCTTTGCGCCTCTCTCTGTGCGGTGTCTTGCCCTACGAAAGCGTAGGTAGAGTACGGATAGAGCAGTTCATCATTTGCCAAGCAGTCTCACTCTCTCACTCACTTACTCACCAACTCACTCTCACAACCAACCCCTCATCCTCATCCCCCACCCGCCCCTTGGAGGCTTGTGGCCAGTGCCTGAGTGTGTATCGGCACACAAAGATCCTCGATGACCACCACACACCCCCTTTCCTTTTTTTCTCACTAGAAGACGCGTTCCGTGCATGGAGGGCGGTTGAACACCCGTCCGCGTGGCTTTCGGCGCGCTTTGCCTCGCGTCGATCGCTTCCGCTCTCACGTAGCAGATGCACCGCACTCGGAAGTCAGGTGGCGCGAACCCGACCCTCTCCATTGAGTCTAGATGCTTCAGCCATATTACGTCGTTTGATGCCGCGTCAGGGTAAGGTGAGAGAGAATAGACCGAGGTAGGGAGTAAGGGAGAAGCGACGGAAGAAGAGGAACTGCTTTTGTTGACTGGAGGGTTACTGGCTTACTACGTACGCGGAGGGTAAACTGGCTGGACCAGCCCAGTTCGCGATTCATGAAGGGGCCGTTCGTCTCGATTTTCATCCCAACGATGCATGCCCCTGCGAGCTGCCCAACCTCCAAGATATGCCATGGGAAAACCAGGGCACGGTGGAAAAACCTGCCTTTCGGCTTCCAGAACAACAGCAGCAGCCGCATCTTGACGCCCAACAATCAAACTCCCACGCCCGAAGCAGCATGCTCGCGCGGCATTCCATGGCCAACGCCCCTGTCCAAGTCCCCGGCCGCCTTTACGGAAACAATTCCCCGAAGCCATGGAATGCCACTTGGGTTCTTCTACGGTCCGCGCTCGAGAGCCTGAGCGTCTCCGGTGCCTGGTGCTCTCAATGCCTTCTCCCTCCCCTTGACGCCGAGGGTAAACACGGCCTACCTCGTCCCATTGCAACGGGAAATGAAAAAAGCGGCCAAACCGGTTCTGCCTACCCAACACCCCTGCGGATGTCTCTCTTCCTTTTCCTTCTCTCATCTCCTCTCCCGCCATCCGTTCCAGGGCGATCGCTGTAAGTCGGGCATGAGGTGGTGTGGACCGTCCCCACGGGTGGCCCGGCATTCCGCCCATCGGGCACCAACTGGGAGGACGCTTCCCTTTCCCATGAGCCCGGCAACAGTGTCGAACTCTCTCTGGGAAGCTTTCTTTTAACATGCACCTCGTCCCGTTGCGGATGCACGCTGCATGACTCCCGCAAGACCTTTCCTTGTCCCTCTCTATACTATAGTCTTAAGACTCTTTCTCGTTGGGCTCTTATTTGTTTCTCCGAAGCCTGCCTGTCCTTGCCGTCTCCTGTTATCTGGCACCAGCCCAGATTAGAGATTGAAGCCATCGTCTTCTTTCTCACCTGCACGCCGCAACGGAGTCTGTGGGTACACGCTAGATAGAGTCTGCAGTATCGGCCCGCGATTGTAACCATGTCCCACCGTCCTCCCACGTCGAACCCGGCGCGGAGCTCGCGGACCCAACCGGTCACGAAATCCGGCTCGGCACTCAAGGCCTCCGAGCAGTCCACCACCACATTGGCGGCACCAAAGCCTGTCCGTCCTGTCTCGGCAACGCTCCAGCCCCCGTCGGCCCAGTGGACGGGAAACCCCAGCCCACCTTCTTACACCAGCTTCAACGTCCCTCCTCCTGGAAGCCCGGCACCGAACGCCGGCGGCCCATCGGCGCCCCCGAGAATGCCGGCCTCCTCGCCCGGTTCTTCTGCCGCCAACCGTCTGTCCCAACTGCGCAGCCCGGGACCCGGCGCCATCACCAGCTTTCCTCCTCCCCCGCCAACGCCGCCCCAGAGAGAAGCAATGAGCCGGTTGCCCAAGGGGACCGCGCAGCCGCCGCCGAAGAAGCCGTCTACCTCGGCGCCTACCGCCGCCCGGGCTCAGGCCGGTGTTGCCAACGGCATCTGGACGCCTCCGGAGAACGCGACGAGCCCCGTGGAAGCAGCCGCCGGGGCCAAGCAGCGGCCTGGCGTCATCGACTTTGACAACCTAGAAGAAACCCTCCAGAACCTGCGTTTCGCTCCCTCCCCGATGCTGTCCACCATCTACTCCGTGCCGTCGACCCCCGGCGACGAGATTTCTACCCCCGACTTCCCCGTCGGCCACAGGTCCTGCTTTACGCCCCCGTCCACCAACCCTACCCCGGAACCCATCACGCCGGTGGACGCGACCCCGCGAGGGCCTCCGCCAGCGATCAAGGAGCCCGTCATGTCGCCCACCAGGGCGCGCGCCAACTCCCGTAGGGCCAGCCCGCCCAGCAGGAAGCGCGGCCGCGGCGTGGTCGCCTGCATCAACAGCCCCGCGACCTTCTGCACGACGTGGTACACCCACCCTACCGCCCCGGACTTTCCCATCTGCTCGAGATGCTACGAAGACTACCTCGTCGGCACGCGTTTCGAGCACGACTTCCGGGGCAAGGTGTGCGACGACAACAAGCCCCGCGTATGCCGCTTCAGCAAGCCCCGCATCAGGGACCACATCCTCCGGAACACCCTCGCCACGGGGCGCGTCGAGGACCTCGTCGGCTTCCTCGGCCACAGGAGCACCATCCCCGACTGCAGAGGGCTCGACGGCGTCATGGGGGGGCAGGGGGCCAAGTGGTACCGCCCCAAGAACAACGCCGTGCCGAACATGGTCGTCTGCGAGGCGTGCTTCGAGGACCACGTCCAGCCCTACCGCTTCGCCGCAAACTTCGAGGCGGCCTCCGGACAGGCGCCCACCGACGTGTGGTCGTGCGACCTGTCGACCCCGTACATTCAGAAAGCCTACAAGACCGCCGCGGCCGAGAACGACTGGGCCGGCTTCACGAAGGAGGCCGTCGCCCGGATGGCCATGCCGGCCTGCGCCAAGCGGCAGAAGGTCACCGTGGGCTCCCGCAGGTGGTTCACGCCGGCCGCCGCCGCCTCCGTCGCCGCGAACCACGACGGCGTCCTCGTCTGCGCGGCCTGCTACCACGACCACGTCGTCGGCTCCGGGGAGGAGCGCAACTGGCGCGACGCCGGCCGCGACAACCTCGCCTCCCGGTACGGCAGCCTGGTCTACTGCATGCTGGGGCACTTCAACGTCGGCGTCGCCATGTCGCGCGCCGCCGAGACCGGCGAGTTCTCCGTCTTCTGGGGCGCCCTCGACGCGGCATGCAGCGAGGAGTTCTGCGGCCCGCAGGGCATCAAGGACGGGACGTGGTACACCTTCCCGTCCCACCCCGAGGAGTTTGGCATCTGCGCGTCGTGCGTCGCCACCGTCGCCGAGCCCCTCGGCCTCGCGTCCTCCCTGGTCACCAAGTGCGGCGTGCGCCCCGGCACCACGACGCTCTGCTCCTTCAACCCCGCGAGCCCGCGCTTCGCCTCGTACATGGGCAAGCTCCTCGAGGGCTTCTTCACCGCCGACACGCAGCCCCTCGAGTCCTACGCCCTCGAGTTCGCCAGCCTGCCCCTCTGCCCCCGCGACGAGGATTTCCAGAACCGGCGGTGGTACGGGTGGGAGGGCTGCGCCGTCTGCCCGTCCTGCTACCACGAGTTCGTCCGCGGCACCGCCCTCGCCGCCTCCATGCCATTGAAGGGCGACATGGTGCCCGCGAGCCTCATGTGCGAGATGTACAGCCCGCGCATGCGCCGCCTCTACGCCGCCGCCTGCGCGAGATCCCCGCCCGACCCGTCGGAGCTCCTCGAGGTGTGCAAGGCCCGCCGCGCCGTGTACGCCGAGACCGTCCCCGCGATCAGGGAGATGATCATGGAGGCGCAGGCGGCGCTGGGGCAGCAGCGGATGCTGAACGCCATGGGGTCGGCGAACGGCGGGGCCGCGGGACAGATCCAGGACGTCGCCAGGCAGAACGCCGGCGCGTGCAACATGCCGGGAGCCGGGTTCGGCCTCTCCAACTGCTTTGAGATGCAAGCCTCCTCGTACGGGAAGCAGGCGAACTCGATCCTGGCCGAGTCCGGCACGCGGGCGCTTGTTATCAGACAGTTGGAGAGGAAGTGGAGGGAAGTCGAATAAAAAGGGGTGGTAGGCTGAGCTTGAGTTGGAAGGGAAAAAAGGAGTTTTCTTTATTTTTTTAAAAAAAAGTATATTCCCTTTGTTTTCTATAGAAAAAAGATACCATTTGAAATTCAGACATACCATCCAAACAAACCCCTGAGCTCGATCCCGAGTCATCGCGAGGTTGCTGTTGAAGTGCCCATCTATCTCAGTTTCGGGTAAGCGCTGAGCGCGGCCTGGCCTCCGGTATGGCAAAACAGAACCTTCTTGCCGGCGAAGCCGCCGCCCCTCGCCGTGTGCAGCAGCCCCGTGAACGCTTTGCCCGTGTAGACGGGGTCGGTCAGGATGCCCTCCGCGCGCGCCAGCACCCTGACGCCGTCCGCCGTGCGCTCGTCGAGGCGCCCGTACGATCCGCCGAGGAACGAGTAGTCCACTTCGAAGTCGTCGCGCGTCAGCCCGTCCGGGTCCAGCCCGATGCGCGAGGCCGTGGTTCTCGCGATGCTCAGGACCAGGCCGGCGACGTCGTCCTCTGCCGGCTTCAGTATCGAGTACCCGACCAGGCGTTTCGTGGAGCCCTTCAGGCCAAGCTTCTGCGCGAGCTTGAACCCGGCGACCATGCCGCCCAGGGTCGAGCCGGACCCGAGAGCCACGGCGACGACGTCGAAAGACGTGCCGAGCTCGGCCTCTTGCTCCAGCACTTCAAAAGCCCATCCGGCATAGCCCAGGCCGCCGAGAGGGTGCGTGCTGGCCCCGGACGGGATGCTGTACGGCTTGCTGCCTCGTTCCTTGAGAGTTGCCATCGCATCGTCCTCGCTCGTGCCGACGGGGAAGGTCTCCGCCCCGAGGATCTCGTTGAGCTGGATGTTGCCCGCGTACCTGTACTCGGCATCGTCCGATGTCACAGCGTCACGGGGATACAACGCAACCTGGTCCTCTCTCTCAGTAGACGCACCCCCGAATCCAAACGTCCCCCCTCCGTGGAACCCGCGGGCTTACCTTGAGTCCGAGCCGCGCCGCAGCAGCCGAGGTCTGGCGCATGTGGTTTGACTGGATGCCACCGGTGGTCACCAGAGTGTCCGCCCCTTGCCCGGTCGCGTCCGCCAAGACGTACTCCAACTTGCGAACTTTGTTCCCCCCAAACGACAGCCCGGAATTGCAGTCCTCGCGCGCAATCCATACCGACGTCTCGTTGTCTAGCTCCTTGGTCAGCCGCGAGAGCGGTTCAATGTCTACCGGGCGGTCGTAGAGCAACGGGACACGCGGAATCTCGCTGAAGGGATACGGCAGATTGACCATTGTTCACTGCTCGGCAATACAGCCTTCCAGAACGCCCTGCAGACAAGAGTTTCCGAGAAGTGCCGCCTTCTGGAATATGGGAACGTCTGATATAATAGAAGAAAGTGCCGATAAATCAAACTGTTCCCGTCCAATGTAAGCGGAACCCCGCTTCCGCACCGCCCAGAAAACTGCAGTTAGCTATTATGACGTATGAAGTAAGCGGGACGCTCAACGATGTTTCGACCGAGGCCGGACAGCTTACACGTTGCCCGTAACCCTTGGCCGGTAATAGAACATGGCCATCTTCTACAACCAAGCTTGTACTCCAAAACGCCGAGGCGAGAGGTGCAGCTTTGAAGCATAGCTCTGACAATCACAAGCGGGCACATCGTAAGCTGAGACTGACTGCACAACCTTTTGGAAGGCTTCTTCGACTGCGACGAAACGAGACCACCGCGGGTACACGGGATACTCGAGGAACTTGAAGACTTATATTGAGCCCTTTTCCAAGACTGCACCCCCTTGAAACTCATACACATTTGCTGAAGCGACTGTCAATGCTAAGGTATATGTGCCATAGCGCCTGTTGATGCGAAACCCCAAACCCGAATTGATATCTCGCCCAATCATACGCCCCCCCCCCCCCCCCAAAAAAAAACGATCATATGGCACAATCATTCATGAAGAGAGAAAAGCCAGCACCGGTTTTTTTTTTTCCCCTCTTCTTTTCACCTTTTCTTTCTTACAAAAAGAGAGCACCGACGGCAGCGGCGCCGATCAGGCCGAGCCCCTGGGGAGAGACGACGCCCGCAGCATTCGGGGTCTGAGTGGGCTGGCTGTTGCCGCTGGTAGGGCTGCCGCCGTTGTTGTTGCCGGAGCCGGAGCCGGAGCCGGAGCCGGAGGACTGCGTAGGGGAGGCTCCGCCGCCGACGCCGGAGCCCGGGCCGATGGTGGTGGTCAGCTGGGCCGAGTTGGTGGGGCGAGCGGCAGAGACGGACGGCGTGGTGGAGGCGTAGGACGCGGTGGCGGCGTAGGAGGTGCTGGCGAAGCCGCAGGTCCTCAGGATGTCGCTGATGTCTAGCATGAAGAAAATCAGTAACTGTGAGCTCGCCAAGGGGAGGAGGGGGGGGGGGGGGTTCTGAAGTGGGTAGAGATACTCACCATCGAGGTCGTCGCGGTCTCGGGTGTTCTGTTCCATGCAGCTGGCGCACAGGGCGGCGTACTGCGAGACGTTGATGCTCGTGTTGGTGCAGAAGCACTGGGCCTCGAGGCGGTCCTCGGTGAGGTCGTCCCTGATCAGGTCATCGTCGACCTCGCAGGCGCGGCCGAGGTCGTAGACGGGCCGGCAGACGGCGCCGCACTGGGCGGGGATGTCGTCGTTGTCGAGCTGGAGGTCTGCCTGGACGCAGGCGGCGGCGGCAGCGAGGGAGAGGGCGAGGCGGTTGAAGTGCATTTTGGCGGTTGACTTGTGTATTATGTATTACTCGGGTGGAAAGGAACTAGTTGTTTGAGCAAGCGTGCTGTTTCAGTTCTTGGCGACTGATGAGATTGGAGTGACGAGGGCCGGGATCGATGAAAGATGAGCGGGATGATGCAAGATATATATAACCACGTTCCGAAACAGCTCTGTTCCTGTGGAGATGCAGAAATGTTTATTGGCCGGCACCAATAAGAAGAAGACCAACGAGACAAGATCCCGGAAAGAAACCCATCGCAGGGTACAAGCTCACGGCAATGTCTGGGACAGCCGGCGCGCATCGTCACTTGGGGGCTTGGGTCTTGGATGGACGCTTGGCGCTGGGCAGGTCTCCATCTTGCGCGGCCTCTCCGTCAAACCGCAGCCATCCAAAAGTGGGTTCCGATGAACGAAGCCAAGAACTCACTCGCAGCCCCAGCCTCGACCAGCGACTCAAGACCCCGGTTGCTGGCGACCCGGTAGTTTCGTTTTATGCCGTCAGCTAGAGGTCTGCTGCGTGAGCCGGAGCGTGAACGCGCTGGTCACCTACACCAGAAATGTTCCTCCGTCCGCCCGCGAGCCTCGCTGTTGTGTATCTGAAAGGGCCCAATTGGTGGTGGAGGCGGCATTCGGGGCTTCCTTTCGTCTCTCTCTCTCTCTCAGAGCCAGCCAGTATTATTCCTTCTTCTTGTCCACTCCGCTGGCCCCGGGGTCTCCAGCAAAGCTTAATGCAACACGTCTTGGGGTAACCCTTGTACCGGTATCCCCCCTAAACAGGCACAATTTGCCGGCCCGCCTGTACTCCTCTCTTCCAGATGAGGATAAGGGTCGCGTGCCACAGACAGTAAGCATACCTACGGATATGACCGCTATTTACACATCGGTACTAGTTCTTGGCAGTGGAGGTAATGGCCAAACCAACGCCGGGAGGATGTCCGGGCACGACACCAACGCCGCACGCATGAGGCGCCGAGAGTCACCCGCAGAAGCAGTCCGAAAGGAACGGGGAGGCTGCATGCCAATCACCGTAGGACACACACACATGGCTCGGGGAAGACCAGCCGCCGAAATGGGAGATACTTGGGCGCGTGTCTGGTGCTGAACCAGGGGGAGGCCCCCCCATGTTTCTTCCGAGAGGACTGGGTATCGTGCCCCATGTTGGATCTTCTTCTGCCGGCTCTGCCAGTTGTTTAAACGTTACGGTTTTGAACTATTGTTTTGGGTTTGCGCCCATCACTTGAGATGACAATCACTCGCCGCCGGCAGATCCCCGCCAAGAGAAGCAGAGCCACGGGGACGCGCATGCCCCCTTGCCAGCTCACCAACGACCAAGCAAACAGACCAAGCCGACTTACAGGAGCTGCATCACCGGCTGCTCCTCCGATCCGATCACCGTAGATCTCCTCGCCGCTCTTCTGGCGACGTGGCAAGAGACTAGTTCCCCAAAAAGGCGCATCGGAACAAAAAACCCCCGCCCGACTGCTCTGTTTCCCTGCTTCCCGTCCGTCCATGTCTCAGAAGAGCTCGAAAAAGAGCACTGATACCCTGCCTGCCCAACAGCCGATGACGCTGCTGCGGATGATCGACACCACGTTCTCCCAGCGGCCAGTGAGATGTTTTCACTCGTCTTGTCAAGACGGGTGTGTGACTGGCTAACTACTGCAGCCACCCGTCGGCCTTCGTCAAGTCCACGCAATCCTCGACGCGGTATGATTGTGGAGGCAGGGGGGAAGCGTTGCAGCGAAGTTATCCTTTTTTTCTTCTTTTTTTTTCCATTCTGCTCTTTCGCTCGCCCATCCACCCCAAACAAACGATAGTCATTGAGTGTGTGTCCCCGGGCCAGCTGAGGAGGTGCGGGTACACGATGCTAATTATAGGCATCTCGCGATGCGGGTGTGTCTTGGCACCCCTCAGTCTCATTTTCTTCTGCGCCCAACAACAACAAAGACTCCACCCGCCCTCAATGGACATCTAGAACTCCATCCTCTCTACGCAAGCAACAACATGTTCGCTACGACTTTCCCCGAGCCTGCTGGATGTTCCTTTTGCCGATCTCTCTCCAACGGTCCGCGCAGCGTCCCGGCGCCAAGCTGTCGTTGAAGCTTCGCCTCGATCTTAGCAGCAGTGGCATACGTAAACATACCTAAAAAAAAAATTGTATTAATAGAGTCCAAGTGAATAGTCGAAAGAACTCACCCGGCGAGACAGACTGTCGGATGCCGATCTCTGGGCAGACAGTGGCCCCCGCAGATTCGAGCGGTGAGCGGCCGCAGTGTGGTGATTGTTGCAAACTCGGCAGCCTTTGCCCAAAGGCTCGGGTCACGACGAAGCCCTTGCAACGTCGTCTTTGCAGTTCCCTTCCGACCGATCACGCATCTGTGCGTTCTTCCGAGACGACGACGCCCCTAATCACGGGACAGACGATGGCAGGTGATTGCGCATGAAAGCGACTCTGCTGGCCTCGGTTCAGTCTGTTCTGGAACGAAATGGACTAACGACGGCAGGATGTGCTCTTCTGGCTTGGCCAGTGTACCTCGGCATCGACGGTAGCTCGCGACTCGGTCCTGAAAGGCTCGCACGGCGCGGATGTTGTTGATTCTTCGGTACCAACGAGAACAGCGGACAATGCAACTAGTGGCCGCCAGATCTTTGATCACGTAACCCCGTTGACAAAGATTAACTGACAGCCAGTTATCGTAATGGCTTATGGGGTTACATTCGATTTTCTTCAGCACCAAGGCGGCACTTTGTTTTCTCAGACCGAGTTTCACGAAACATAGCGCGGCCCTTATTCCGCAGCGAGGTAAATATCATGGCGTGTACCGATGACTTCAATGGTTGGAAAATGGGAGAGGTTCAGGGAGATATCGTGCGAGATGCTCCCCTTCTTTCACTAGGCTATTTTCGTATTGACATGTTAGAATACTATGTAAAAGAGACAAATACAGGAACGCAATAGCGAACTAACATTGGGCTGTAACCAGAGTATTGGGTCATGATACGAATTGCTCTAGATAAGTTTCCGTGATGATTAGAGCTGAAATGTCAATTAGGGCATCAATGGATAGTAGATGTTATAGGCACGAGTTTGCGTAAAGCTGGCCGTATACCTGGCATAATTGAAATGCTCGTCGAGAAATCCATAGCGGTAGTTGTCGCCACGGGCTAGACCATCCCATTTCTTACTTGAAGTATCATCAAACCAAATGGGAACCAGACTAAACTTTTCGGCAAGTTTGCTACCTCTTGATAGAGACTCGGCTTTTAGAGATCACCTTGGCCTGCACAAGAAGCCCTTATATTGGCCAGGTCACCGGTTTGTAATTTCAAGTTGTGTCTCGGAATGACCCACAAAGCCTAGCGGGTATCACATTATGAATAACTTCGGGAGCGGCTGTAAAAGAAGAGCTTTGCTGGCAATCATCCAGATGAATTTACCTGGGATGTTGCATCTTTTAGGAGAAGCGAAGCAGTGATACGCAGCTCACTTATGATTATCCCTGACCCAAACCTCGAAGCAAGCGGCGACAGAAAACGACGAATAGAATGGCCTATGAGGATATCGTACTATACCACTAGGTTCTCTCACTATGCCGAATAGCGACGCAAAGAAATAGTCAAGGCTGTAGGAAATACGACCTTTGAGCATTTGGATTCTAGACGTTGTTTACTGCCTTTTCGAGGCCAACTCGCAGTCGGGGTGGAATGTAAGTAGCAAAGTGATTGATACACCAAGGTCCGTACCTAGACCTCTCTTGATCGCCCAGCAAAGCTGAATCGAGAACAGAATACACGTCGGGTGGTCAGTTTGGGGGGCCTACTACTTCGGCGTTCATACCACATACTTCTTCACGTGTGTATGCAGCTTGACCGATGGGTCTTTTCGCTAGAGATCGCTTCCCCGCTTCGCATGACATCAAGTCGGAATTCGAGCTAGTGCCAGTCAGAATGCAGCAATAGCAAGACTACCGCCATGCTTCTTATGCTTCTTACGATACACGATAATGTGTTGGCGACGCATCTCCGGCCGAACCTTCTTGTTACCATTTGCCGTCATCATTGCCAAGTATGTCCTAGCAGTTGACCAAGAGATTTCGCTCCATATGAGAAACGAACGGGGCCTGGAGGACCATAGTCTTGGCTTCGTTCGGCGGCAAACTGATTGCCGTCAAACTCTCGCCCCCCTTCCCCCCCCCTTTTCAAACCCCCCACGCCTCCTCACGTGAGCGGGAGGCAATGCATCCAGCAGCAGAGCCAGGGTCTTGGTAGGCCCGAAATCGAGCGCGTACCTGACGTGCTCTACACCGACAAACAAGATAATTACTCTGGCGCGGGGGAGCTGTATCTGCCTCTCATTCGTTGTCCTCATGGGAGGACAGTCCAAGGAGGGGCGGGGGGCTAACTTGACGGGTGCATGAGGCGGGGGAGTCGTAGTCTGCGTAACGCGTGTGGCGACGACGGACTTGCAGAATGGCGTGGGGTGAGATGGGAGGGGGAGGACGCCTCCAATGCCGAGCCACGGGGTATTTCGACTCTGCGTCGTGATTCGCGACTTTGAGAGTAAGTCAGACCGATAGATACCATCCTCGCCAGTTTCTTTTTTTTGTTTGTGACCGGCGAGATACTACTGTCCGGACGACAAAAACACGGATGTGTTTGGGGGGAACTTTTGAGGGGTAGCGAGAGAGCTCGTACCAGGGAATACGGTCACACAAAAAGACCCTGTGATGTGCAAAGTCTTTCTGCTAGTTCACCGCACGCACTTGGCCGGGGGTCCGGGTGTACGTGGGGGTCACTCCGGGGTTTGCCGAGTCTACTCCGTACATAGTAGACAGACGGGACAGGGACAGAAATAGTCTGGTCATGGTGACGGGACTAAGGTCGAATCAACACCGTCCGCTTCCAGTCTTGAACCAATTGGCTGTCACACCGCCGGCAAGACCCCAGAGTTCTCGGCTGAGTCTCACGGCTCCGAAGTTATCTATTCCCGGGCCGGAGGCTTCCCCCCCCCTCGCCGCGTAGTGGTTCCAGCGCCCCCCCCCCCCCCCCCCCTCCCCCTTTCTTTTGATCACGCGACTATTGATGTACGTTGGAGCCAGAGCGTCGACGGCATTTGCTGCTTGGTGCCACGCCGGTTGGTAAAACCCTTGGACGGGACAGCCCCGGGTTTGGGGAGATGCCGGCCCAGTCAGCCCCAAGAATGAGACGAATACCGGCATGGCGGAGAAGATCCGACTCCTTCACGTCTAGTGGCGTTGCACCTTGTGATGCACCATGCCACTCGGCTCACCGCAAACTCAATTTCCTGGCATGTCAGCTTTGGACTTAGCAGAACCACACACACACACACACACACACGCGCGCCTGCCCACCCACACTTACACGTACATTGTACTTACACACACACACACACACACACACTCCATGATCCACGCACCCAGCCGCTTGCTCGGAGGCGTCAGAACGGGGCGTGGCCAAAGTAGCCACCCCCACGCCGCCCTGCCGCCCTAACCATCCGATGCCCGCCAAGTCTCAGCAAAGCCGCATGCTGAACATGACGGGAACCCCGGGAACTGGCTAGAAAGTTTGCGTCTCTTGCCGCGTCCTCCTCTTCGCGCGGCAAGGAGGGTTCGAGCCTAGTTGGGCTGCTCTAAGTCTATCTGCTTATAAGACCGAGAGTGTTCCCGGCTTATCACCTCCCCCCCGTCTTGTGTTGGCCTCCTTGACATCCTCTCTGCCTCGCTGCATCCGCGCTGCTTCGACGGCTTTCCTTAGCACATGCCATCATCATCATCATCATCATCATCATCATCATCGGCACCAACGTCACCGCAAGAAGACCCGGCCATCATCATGGCCACTCTCCAACCGGCGGAAGAGTCCCAGTACGGCGCCCCCAAGGCGGAGCATCTCCGACTCCCGGGCGGCGTGTACGTCCCCACCTTGGCGTTCTTCACAGAGTCGGACGAGGTAGACACCAACACGCTCGAGCGCCACATCGTCAGGCTCATCAACGCGGGCGTGGCGGGCATCGTCGTCCACGGGTCCAACGGCGAGGCGGTGCACCTGTCGAGGGAGGAGCGCAGCTCGATGATCCGCTGCGCCGCCGACACCATCCACCAGGAGGGCCACGACGTCCGGATCCCGCTCGTCGCGGGCTGCGGGGCCCAGTCGACGCGCGAGACCGTCCAGCTCTGCCGGGACGCCGGCAGGAGCGGCGCGACGCACGCGCTGGTGCTGCCGCCCAGCTACTACGGCGCGCTGCTCGACGACGACAGGGTCGTCCGGCACTTCTACGACGTCGCCGACGCGTCGCCCGTCCCGCTGCTCGTCTACAACTTCCCCGGGGCGGCGTCCGGGCTGGACCTGTCGTCGGACGCCGTCTCGCGCGTCGCGCGGCACCCCAACGTCGTCGGCGTCAAGCTGACGTGCGGCAACACGGGCAAGCTCGCGCGCGTGGCCGACGACGCGCCCGCGGGCTTCTTCGTCGCCGGCGGCAGCGCCGACTTCATCCTGCAGGGCCACGTCGTCGGCGGCCACGGCACCATCGCGGGGCTGGCCAACCTCGCGCCGCGAGCGTGCGTGCGCATCGTCGAGCTCGCGTCCCGCGGCGAGCTCGCCGAGGCGCGCCGGCTGCAGGCCGTCGTGGCCAGGGGCGACTGGGTCGCCATCCGGACGGGCTTCGTGGGCGTCAAGGCGGCCATGGGCCACTTTGAGCAGTACGGCGGCGCGCCGCGGAAGCCCTGCGCCGCGCCCTCGCCCGAGGAGCTCAAGGGCATCGTGGAGGGGCTGAGCGAGCTGCTCCAGCTCGAGAGGCGGTTGGAGGAGGAGGCGGCGGCCGAGGCGGTCAGCGGCGCCGGCGGCGTACACTGATTGATGGAACTACTCCGGCGCCCCGCGTTGGGGTGTGTTCTTCCCGAAGGCGCGAGGTGTGACGTTTGCTGTATGATGTAAGGTGACGGTGGACATGCATTGCAGGGGCAAAGGGAGCGCGGGAGCATAATGGATGGGAGGCAAAAGTCCGGGGGTGGCATGCGACAACGGGTTCCTCGGGCATGGAACTGATGGCCAAAGATGATGCGGAGGTGGAGTTTGATTTGGATTGGATCTGCTTCGTTTCTCCGACGCAGAATCCGGATTGGAAGACAAAAGAAAACTTGTTGGCATTGGGAGGAAGATGCAGAGAGAATGAGAGGGGGGGAGAGGGGGGTCAGCTTCGGTGTCGTCGTCCGACTAGCCATGCGCCACAGATCCCTGCAGAGCACCATGTTGTCGAGTAAACAACCATTTTGCAACCACTTCGCGGAATCACTTGTGCTCCTATTATTCTGTCAACGAGCTACTCCGCCCTAGCAATGCTACGTTCAAGAAGTAGCACAGTACTCTCGTTGCTTCCTCGTCATTCTCTGTTCCGCTTCCAAGATGCCAGACGTTCTTACTATTCTCTTTTCAAAAGAACAATAACTAGTAGCGCTTGTTCTTACTCTCGATTTGTAGCCACGTCGCCCGACCAATCGATCAAGTAACATTGGATTGATGGTGTCGAGAGGCTGGAAAAGTACGAGCCAGGCGGCTATCATCCATCCCATCATGATCGACGACTTGCCCCACGGTCGATACCGAATAGTGGGCAAGTTAGGATTCGGCGGTTACTCGACCATCTGCCTTGCTCACGATGATGGACTAGAACGCTATGTCGCCATAAAAGTTGGAGTCTCCAGTCCGTCGCTCTCTCGACGCGAGCCACGTATCCTACGCGACCTATCTCGCTCAACGCCAACATCATATGCTGCCCGTGTAGCTATCGATGCAAGTGACGCCATACCAAGCATTTTGAATGAACTTGACATCCAGGGTCCCAATGGGACGCACGCATGCTATACTGTTTGTTGCTCCTGCGCGGTGAAAAATCAAAGAAGCATCGTTTAGTCGTCTCTTTCCCATCGAGGTCGCCCGGGCGCCGGCTGCGAAACTGACGATGGCGGTTGCCTTTGTCCACGGTCGTGGATTCTTCCATGGAGGTTGGTTTATGATATCCGATGAATCAGCCGAACAAAACTAAACCAGTTGAAGATATTCATCTTCGGAACGTGCTAGTAAACTTCCATCAGCATTTAACCAACTCTCAATCGACCAGTTCAGGAATGAATTTGGCGAGCCTGAGACGGTTCCCATTAGTCGCCTGGATGGAAGCCCTCTCCCGCCTAACATCCCTCCCCGCGCTGTAGTGCCCCTGTATCTTGGGGAGAAGGTCTAAGAGTTCCCTCTAGCTGACGCGCATGGCCTTGTTCTCAACGACTTCGGTGAGGCGTTTGCACCAGCCACGGAACAGCGTCTCGGGAAGGACTGCAATACGCCCGGTGCTAAGACAGCATCAGAGGCACTTTTTGAGCCCGACGCGCCCCTATCGTATCCATCAGACATATGGAGCCTTGGAACTGCCATATGGGAAATCCTGGGCATGGAGTTCATCCTTAGTGAGTCAGAAACACAAGGTGACATTGCGGCTCAGCAAATTGACGTCCTCGGTTCTCAGTATTTCCCCTCAAACTGGCAGAAACACTGGGAGCAACTGATTGCAGCGGAAAGGGATAGAGACGAAGGAGCACCTCGCCGGCTCACGGGTCCTCGTGAGGCATGGCCTCCCCTCGACATGGCCTCCCCTCGACAAGGCCTTTGATGAATTCGTGCAAAAGTGCAGAAAAAAACGAGAGATGGCCGGGGTTTTGGGGGAGGAGGAGACGCGTGCAATTCTTGATATGATGCGAGGTATGCTCAAGTCCCGACCTGAGGAACGATTGACGGTAGAGGAAGTGCTTGGGTCTGAGCGGATGACCGAATGGGTATTGCCTCAGTTGGAGACTGGAGTGAAGATGTCATGAGGCGAAATACCCGCCCCCACCGCCGTGCTTGAGGTAAGATGGCCCCTCGCGCGAGGCCGATGCCGCGGCCAGCTTCGGAACCTCGGAGAGGCAGTACAAGAAGGCAAAGTAATTTTTAATGGGAAGGCTTGCAATATCCTGGTTGGAGATGGCCTGGAGATGCTGGTGGATGATCGTCTTATAGGCGGCTGCGAGCGACGCGAAGGGCCCGCTTGGTGCTTGCGGTGTTGCGAACCAAGGCTTTTGGGCGAACCCCCCTGACTTCCCCGGGCGAGGAACTTTAGAGTCGCGACCTCGCTCAGGAAAACGTAGTCCTGCAGGGGCTGGGGAGGCAGCAGCAGCAGCTCCAAAAGGCGTATCTTCGCGATCCACGCGACGCCGTTATCGAAGACGACATCCAGGTGACAATCCTGGCCGCCGCACTGCTGCTCGACGATTTTGATTCGAGTGCCCTGGTCCAAGTCACCGGCGAGCGCGGGGATACGGCAAGGGATGCTGTTCCTAGCCTTGCTTACTACAGCTTCAAGAGCATCGACCTGTATCCTTGCCAAGATAGCCACAAGATACTGTCTTTTTGCGACTTAATATTCACTATAGAATGTATCTGAGTCGCAGTCCTGCACACAGTTCAGTTATTACGTTGGCCAACCATGTTTGAGGGAGGGTTCCGCTGACGTATGGGGGGCATTTGTGACCGTCGCCTTTTGCATGGTTATGGCACAGGTGCTGGCCACAGATCATGCAGCTTCCGACGTTGCGTTCTGCTGGAGTTCGGCATCCGGGAAAGCAGCAAGTGCGAAGGACCATTCTGGAGAGCCTGCAGTTGTGTATGTGTGTGTGTGTTGACTGAGGCCTGGCGGCCGAGGTGTACCAGATGTGTCATACGATCTGACCCCCACGCACACGCTATACCATAGATCTTACACCCCCCAAGAGGCCCTGATGTCGGGCCGACAAAGTCTTGCTTCCATGCCAATCATGCCGGCGAAAGTTGTCGACAAGCAGCCGGTGGCGACGCACTCTTTCTCCCGTGGGATAATAAGCTGGGCTTCCCTCAGCCGAATGCAACGGGCCCCCCCATTGGCCGGGTTGTGAGCGATCACCGTGATACGCCAAATCTAGGCATTTGCCACTCGCGGCACGGAGGGAAAATGCACCGGACGATATCAACACTTGTTCCGTGGGAAACAGACTCATTATCGTTTGTCATTCCACAGGTATATCCAGGGGAGGAGGGGGACGTGTGGGCACAGGGAGATCGGCGTTGCTCACTCGCCCCGGGGTGCTTATGGAAACCCCAGACCCCAGAAGACCATCGCAGTCAGACTTCCCCGGTGGCTGAGAGTCGCCAGAAGGCCCAGACAGGCAGAGAAGCAGAACCTTTTGCAGGTCCGCAACCAGCAGGGTTGCAAACATGAGAGAAAGGAGGGGGGAAGGGATGGTCCTTTTCCAAGGCAGGCACGCAGGACACGAGGAGGCGGAGGGAGGGGAACTAGGTAGTGTAATTCCATCAACATGGTACGCGCGCGTATCTCCATGACAAGCAAACTTGGAGATTAGCGCCGGTGGGAAAAGGGTGTGTGGTGGTCCCCTATGCACCCCGCACATGTAGGTGATCATCTGCGCCGAGGGGTCGAAGCCGTCGGCAGGATTCGGACTCTCGTTCCGGGGATGACATGACGTCTGGGGGGGAAAATGTAAGACGGACGGACCCGTGACGACAAAGCCGGTTCGGCGCAGACGCTTACGGTGGCTTCGACTTCAGGAGTTGAAAGCGCCCGAGTAACCGTTTGAGAACGGGCTGATGCTTTTTCGGACGAATGGTCCGTCCATATGCGTTCGTTGCGCCTCCCATTCGAGGATATGAAGTGGGTTTGCTGCCGCAGCCGAGCTTGCTTACGGCGTCTACACGTACGCAACCGACGACACCAATGAGAGATGGGTCATCCCGACGTGGCGGTAAGGAAACAGGGCAACAGGAACAGTCCCAACGTGGCTGGGGAAGAAGCCGCGCATGAGCCAGTATACACCTCGGCGTCAAGATGGTTGGCAAGACGGGAATTCCTTCTTGTCGAGCGATTACGTGAAACGGCCCAAACCAGCCGAAATCTAGTGAGTATTTGAAACCGAGTAATATCTGCCTTGCCGGGTAATTATATCGAGCATATTTCCAAGAAACATTAATAGTTATATATGCGTGCTCACACGCACGCGGGCTACTTCGGCGTCCCGTATGCCCAAGGAGATAGACGGGCCCCTCGATCACCCGACTTGCCTCTGTATTACCACACATCAGATCATCGGGCCTCGTCAACGTCATATTCACCTGCGTTGCACTCCCCCTCCCCCGCGTTGCGCAACCAACCAACCAGCCTACCAACCAACCAACCCCGTGCAACATTTTGCCATTTTCATGGCGATCCCCATCAAGCCCACCTAGTCCACCGTCTTACCCTCCTTGGTTGTCTCGTTGATGCCCTCTACGGGAGACACGGCCTCGGTGGTCTCCACGGTCTCGCCCTTCTTGAGACCCAGCTGGCGCGTGTCGTAGCCGTTCTCCTCGAGGTAGGCGCGGTAGCGGGCGTCCTCGAGGGCGATGGTGTCCTGGCCGATGTGCGGCAGGCAGAACAGGGCCAGGGCGGCGGACAGGACGCACAGGGAAGACGAGACCCAGAACGGGTACTGCGCCGAGGCGACGGCGTTGTCGCCCGCCGCTGCCTGGATGTACGGGAACACTGCGCGCGTTGGGAACGTGGTTAGCATATCAAAAAAAAAAAAAAAAAAAAAAAAAAAAAAAAAAAAAAAAAAAAACCCTTGCCTCCCGTCCGGTCCCTTTTCCCTTCAAACACAGGAGAAAGACTTACCCCAGGTGCCCACGAAAGCGCCAATCTTGCCGATAGCCGCAGCGACGCCGTAATATTTTCCTGTACGCCTGTCAGCGAATTGTTCGTTTCCACGGCCTTCATCGTGGTAAAAGGGTGGGGGGGAGAGGGAGGCTCCGTACCGCGGATACCCGTCGCGCAGGTCTTGGCGGCCAACAAGCCGATGTTGTTTCCGGGCCCGAACTCGCCCAGGGCCAGGAAGATGCCGTAAACGACGACGAAGCCGCCGACCATGCCGGGCTGCGACAGGTTGAAGTAGTCGCCCGCCATGATGAAGCCGACCACGGCCTGCAGGAAGACGCCGAGGGCGAGGGCGTAGCGCGGGCCAAGCCAGTCGGAGGCGGGCGCGCCGAGCATGGTGCCGGGGATGTAGAACAGGTTGATGACGGTGTTCCAGCCGAAGACGGTCGTGAGCGGGGCCGTGTCGCCGTACAGGTTGCTCAGGATCGTAGAGGAATAGATGCCGAAAGAGTAGGCCGAGAACTGAGCAGTACGAGACGGTCAGCACACTTCCAATGCACATTTTTGGGAGTTGCGACGGTCGTCACTCGGGATAGTGTGGGAAGAGGGGGGGGGTGAGGGAGACTGACATCGTAGATGAACCAGATCAAGCTGACGACGAAGAGACGCCAGCCGTAGAACTTGAGGGACAGCAGGTACGGCGTCTTGGCGTAGCGCATCGAGTTCTTGGTGAACTCCTCGGGCTCCTTCACGAAGAGGCGGAGGACGAAGAGGAACATGGGGAAGACGACGCCGATGCCCAGGCTGGTGCGCCAGATGGTGCTGTAGTGCCCGTTTCGGCAGGCGGCGGCGACCACGTACGGTACGAATGCTGTGTCGGGAATGTCAGTTCGGTTCCGCTAACGCGCCTTGGAAGCAATGGATATGGGGACGAACCGCCAATGACGAAACCCTGCGCCGCACGCATGATCATGTTAGCAAAAATGACAGAAAAAGAAAAAAAAAAAAAGAGTCCCGTGAGAGAGAGAGAGAGAGAGAGAGCGGGATTGCACAGTTTTTCTCTCTCTCCAATCTTACCCAGTCAATCATCGTGTTGGTGAACATGATGAACCAAAGGTTCCTCGAGCCCGACTTGAGCTCGCCCGTGGACTCGGCGGCGCCGACGCTGCCCGCCGGGTACTCGCCTCCAATGCCAATGCCGACCTGTTCGTCGCCGGGGAGGGACCACGGTTAGCCAGAGAGATTCTCGACGGGGATGGGGGCAGCAAGGAGGGGGGGCATCGCTTACGAAGAAGCGCCAGGCGGCCAGCATGTTGAACATGCCGACGGGCTCGCCCTTGTAGTAGGAGCCGGCGGCGAGGGCGGTGAAGACGAGCAGGATGATGGTGGAGACGAGCAGCGAGTTGGTGCGCGACCAGTGGTCGGCGAGCCAGCCAAAGGCCAGCTGGCCGACGACGGTGCCGGCGAAGGCGATGTCGCCGACGTACTTTTTCGCGTTGGACGTCTTGTAGAGGTCGCCGTACTGGAGCGCGAGGACCGTGGTGACGGACCCGATGACCTGCACAGCAGTTGCCGCATCAGCTCAGCCGCCGAGCTTCTTCTCCCGGGCGATGGGCGCTTACGTTGTTGATGTATCCGTCGGAGAACAGACCGGCGCCGCACGCGATGACAGGGACGATGGCCGTGCGGAACGGCTTGGGCGGCGGTGCGGCGTCGGCGGCGGCGACGGTCTCGCGAGCTGCCGCCTCGGACTCGGGCGACTTCTTCCTTGCAAGGTTAAACATGGCGGGCGACGAGCGACGAGGGCAGAGCAAGCAGGTCGCGCGGCTTGGTGAGGGAGGGGGGAGGGGGGGGGTTAGATGAAGCAAGGACGTGTCGCCAAGCTGGTCGCGAGCCGTCGCGAAGGGTTTAAACAATGTTGGCTGAAGCACGGGCGTGTGTGAGGGGAATCGGGACACCAAAGGTATTTATTAGTTCGGACGATCACGGGCCCATTCGGAGCGGCAGAGGAGGATGAAGAGCGTGGGGGGCAGGAAAGGGAGGAATGATCTGAGCGAGCTTGCCAGTCGGGGGGGGTCCGGTCATCTACCCTACCTTTACATGGTGTAGGTAACTAGTATACCCAGATCGGATCGAGCTTGGTTTATCATTTATCAC